GTATTCAGACCTTGTTACTACCTTTGCAGTAGCAGTTAAACCCATTGCAAAGCCAGTCTCATCAAAGTTGTAGATATCATCAGGGTTGATGCCATATTGAAGTATTGTATGTTGCACACAATTAAACCACTCTTGAATGATTTTTGGGTCTTCACACTTTGCACGCTCATAATTATAGTGTCTTGAGAATCAGGTTAAAAGCTCTGGGTTTCGTTTCAGAGTTATAAGCCCATTTTTCACCAACTATTTGAACTGGGGTAGATCCATGTGCTGCAAGTAGAAGATTGTAATTTCTTGTACAGAGGTTGGCTGAGGAGCTGCTTTGCAATCATCAAGAGAGAGGATCCATTTTAAAAGTGATTCCTCTTCTATTTGTGTCAATTTATGGCTATTGGCGTGGGTTTGATCTCAACTTGTAGTTCCATGAAGGCGTGCGTAGAGAGTAGACTTTGGGACTTCAAAACAGCATGCTGCTTCATGAATAGAAGAGATTTCTTGCTTCTTGATAGCCTGGATAGCTAATAAGATCCTAACCTCCTGCTCTATTGAATTTCGAGAGCCTTGGGAGCGAATTGGTGGCATAGTGGGCGGTTAAAGAAAGAAGGATGCACGAAAATGACGCGGTCGCGTTGGGTGTCCAGCTCGCTTACCGATTACGTTAGTTAGTATGTATAAGACTTTATATATATCTTAAACACTAATAAGGTTGCACTGAAGTGTCTTTTAATACTATTTAAATGATTAGCAACCTCTGCAGCTGATGCCACGGGCTCGGACTAGTAGATATTGACGGAATGATATTCCTATCTAAACTGGTGTAGTCTAAGACTTCCCTTAAAGTATCAGGATCATGCTAATCCAGGTGCTACTGCAGTTGCATTCACTGATAAGGCTCATGCTGTGTTCACGACTCTTTCAAAAACCCCCTAACTCTATGCCAGTGGACTGGTCATCTTACCAGACTGGTGAATGGGAATGGCCAAAGGTAGTGATGAGTGAAGTAAAGGAGGCAATATTCACCAGCTCAATCCAAAAAGCACCTGATCCAGATGGGATATCCTTTAAAATCATTCAAAAGGCTTACTTGAATCTACCTCATAGATTCCATAGGCTCTATTGCTAAACTGGTCGTCCACCCAGCGGGGGTAAACTATGGTAGAAGCGTGATAGAGTGTATATGGAGGTAGTATA